CTCTGAATAAGGCTGGGGTGTCCATAATCATATCAGACAACATAGTTTTCAAGTTAAAAAGTCATAAAGGACAGAGATGGTCATTTCCTAATGATCAAAGAATATGAACACTGGGAAGAACTCACACTCCTAAACATTTATGCACCTAGTGATGACCATCAAATACTTAAAAGGAAGATACTGACAGTAATACAAAAGTAGTGAGAGATTTCAATACTTTTTTTTTATTAGTGAAACACCATGAGATACAGTTATAGACTTACAAATTTTTGTGCTTGGGCTTCAATTATACAATGAACAAGTACCAATCCCTCCTCCAGTGTCCATCAATACTTTTTTTAAATCTCCTCTGAATCAATAAACTAAGGTAAAACTAAACAAGGAAACAATGGCTTGGAAAGAAGAAATGATGTGCTTAGCAAACATATACAAAGCACTAAATCCCCCCCAAAACAAAAAATTAGAAATTACACAAATTACTACTGAACAACTACTGGGAACAGAGGAAATCAGAGAGGAAATCAAAAGATTCTTAGAAACAAACAAGAATAAATATATGACCAACCAGAATATATAGGTCACGGCAAAGGCATGGCTAAGAGGAAAGTTCCTAGCAATGCAAGCAAACATTAAGAAGGAAGAAAGGGCCAACATAAATAACCTAACTGCATGGCTTACGACTTAAGATACTATAAAAGGACCAAGCAGTCAGGAGAAAGAAAATAATGAAATTAAGCAGAAATTAATGACCTGAGCTACCAAAAAAAAAAACCCGCACGCCAAAGGATTAACAAAAACTTCAAGAGCTACTTCTAAAAATAATAATAATAACAATAACAACAGCAATCTTTATAAACCACTAGTAAACTCACAAAGTAAGACAAAAACTCTAATAAACTGAATTAGAAATGAAAGGGGACTATCAGAACAGATACCACAGAAATTCAAAAGATCATCAGGGATTACATTAAAAATCTTTATGCCACAAAATGAGAGAACCTAGAAGAAACGTGTAATTTCTTGGATTCCTATAACTTACCAACGTAAAACCAAGACAACATAGGAAACCACCTGAACAAACCAGTTACTACTGAGGAAATTAAAATGGTAATCAAAAGTCTCCTCAAAAATAAAAGCCTAAATGATGGAGAATGGGCACTGGTGGAAGGATGGGTACTGGATCATTGTATAACTGAAACCCAAGCACAAAAATTTGTAAGTCTACAACTGTACCTCATGGTGTTTCACTAATAAAAAATTTTAATAAATAAATAAATAAATAAATAAAAGCCTATTCTCAGATGGGTTCACTAGTGAGTTCTTCCAAATCTTAAAAGAGGGCCTACTACCAACTTGATTCCAGTTCTTTCAGGAAATCAAAGAAATAGAAACACTTTGAAACAGTTTCTACCAGGGAAATATCACCCTGATACCGAACACTGACAGAGGACAGCACAAAAAAGGAAAAACTACAGACTGATATCCCTGATGAACATAGATGCAAAGATCCACGACAAAGTACTAGAAAATCAGATCCAACGATTTATAAAAAGATAATACACCATAACCAAGTAGGATTCATCCCTGGGATGCAAGAATGTTTTAACATATGCAAATCAATCAATGTAATACACCATATAAATAAAAGAAAAAATAAAATCATAATATCAGAATAATAGACGTACAGAAAACATTTGATAAGATCCAATAACCCATTCCTGATTAAAAAAAAAAACTCTCAATAAGATGGGAACTAAAAGAACATTCCTCAACATAGTTAAAGCCCACGGCAAACATAATACTCAATGTGTAAAAATGAAAAGCTTTCCCCCTAGGATCAGGCACAAGACAAGGTTGCCTATTCTCACCACTTCTACTCAATATAGCATTGAAATTACTTGCCATAGAAATTAGGTAAGAAAAGATACTAAGGGAATCCAGATAGGAAAGAAAGGAGTTAAGATCTCACTATTTGCTGATGACATAATATTATATTTAGAAAATCCTCAAAACTCTAAAAAAAGCTCCTAGAAACAATAAATTTGTAAATTTGAGGGCTAAAAATTAACACAAAGAAGTCCAAGGCTTTCCTATATGCATAAGATGAAATAAAAGAGAGATGACTTTTTTAAATCCCTTTTACAATCGTGCACCAGAAAATCAAATACTTAAAAAATTCTCTTAACTAAAGAAGAGCTATTAAAAAAAAACCTATAAAACCTATAAAACATAAAAGAAATAAAAGAGGGCACAAGGAAGTAAAAACATATCCCTTGATCATGAATTGGGAGGATTAACATAGCCAAAACTGCAACTCTCTGCAAAACATACAGATACTATGAAGTTCCTATAAGGATACCCATTTTTAAAAGAAATAGATCAAGTAATCCTGAAATTCATATGGAACAATAAATACCCCTCATCCCTAATAGCCAAAGCAATCCCCAGGAAAAAGAGGATGGAGGCATCACTTTCCCCAATTTCAAACTGAACTATATAAAGCAGTAATGACTAAAACAGTATGGTACTGAAATAAAGACAGACCCCCAGATCAATGGAATAGATCAACGGAATAGAACTGAAAATACAGAGACAGATTCCCAGGTGTACAGTCAATCTTTGACAAAGAGCAAAAGTTTGAAGTGGAGCAAGGGAAGCACCTTCAACAAGCGGTGCTGGGAAAACCAGTTGTCCAAATGCAAAAAAAAAAAAAAAAAATGAATTCATGGGACTGGAGCAATAGTACAATTGGTAATATGTTTGCCTTGCATGTGGCCAACTCGGGTTCAATCCCTGGCACCCCATATGTACGCCAAGACTGCCAGGAGTGATACCTGAGCACAGAACGAGAACCCTGGAGTACCACCAAGTGCCGCCCCTCTCCCAAAGAAAAGAAAGAACCCAAACCCCTTTCTAACACCATGCATAAAAGCCAAATCAAACTGGACTAAAGAAAATACCTCAATATTATACCAGAATCCATGTTACACTTAGGAAAGCAGAGTCAGAACTCTTCACAACATTGAAGAGGCATTTTTAAGGAGGCAATGTCATTGTCCAAACAAAAACAAAGACATACTAATGAGACATTAAATTAAGAGGCTTCCAGACCTCAAAGGAAGCAGTGACCAAATTACAAAACATACCAAAGACTGGGCTAAGGCTAGAGCCATAGTACAGAATGTAGGGCACATATCTTGAACACAGCTGACCTCGGTTTGATAACTGGCATCTATATGGTTCCCCAAGCCCCATCAGGAGTAGTAAATTTTTAATGTAGAGCAAGGAGCAACCCCTGAGCATAATGAGGTCTGGCTCCAAAACCCAAACTAGGAACTGATCCACTAATTCCACTTCTTGGAATGTGCCCCAAGATTCAAAAACACAATGGAGAAGTCATTTGCACTCCTATGTTCCTTGCAGCATTCTCCACGATAGCCAAAATCTAGAAACAACCCAAATGTCCAAAAACAGATGACTGGATAAGGAAAATATGGAACATATGTACAATGGACTGCTACTCAGTCATTAAAAAAGAATAAAATCATGCAAGTTGTTGCTACTTTAGATAGATATGAGGAGTACTATGCTGAGTGAAGTTAGTTGGAGGGAGAGAGAATAACACAGAATGACCTTTTTCAAATGTGAAATATAAAGAAACAACAGTGGATTAAAAAATGTCCAATGGTAACTGAAAGAAAGAACATGAGAACTGATCTTCAGTATGAAGTTTGCAACTGGGGGTTGGTGGGAATAAGACAGGGAAGGGAATACCACAACAATGGTGTAAAATGTTATGCATGAAATCCTATCAGCACCAGTACTGTAAACCTGAATATGAAAAGCATGTCCTGGGGTCTGAGCAATAGTACAGTGGGTAGGGCACTTGTCTTATATGTCGCTGACCCAGGTTCTATCCCCAGCATCCTATACGCTCCCCCAAGCACTGTCAAGAGTAATTCCTGAGTGTAGAGCTAGGAGTAACCCCTGAGCATTGCCAGATATGGCCCAAAACCTAAAAATATTTTTAAAAAATTGAAAATGCTCCTCTCACTGAGGCAACTGGTGGGTGGGAGCAGCATTTCCATCGGGGAGCACATTTGTGGAAAGAAATGCAGAGGTAGCTAACCATGTTTCCAGAGGCACACAAACCAATCTCGGAACCCTGCAGCTTTTGGCAGAAATCCCTCCAGACTTAATTAAATATCAGAAATCCAAAATTGCAGGGCCACTATCGCACCCACGTGACATCATATGCTCTTCATAAACAGCAACAGAAAACAAATGATCTAACATTGCCTTTTTAGCGGTCTGATTGTTGGGGGGAAATTTCAAATAATAATGGTGCATCTTTTGTCAAAATAATGAATGTAATCAAAGTAGAGAGTTAAGTGGAATTCATCTGCCTCATAGGCAGGGGGAGGCTGGGGTGAGGGTGTATTGGGGTTCTTGGTGGTGGAAAATGTGCACTGGTGAAGGGATAGGTGTTTGATCATTGTATGACTGAGATTTAAACCTGAAAGCTTTGTAATTGTTCTCACGGTGATTCAATAAATAAATAATAACAAAAAACAAAAATGAAAACAAAAGAAAAATCCTTTGGGGGTCAGTATGACAGTACAATGGATAGGGCAGTTGCCTTGCACGTTGCTGACCCAGTTCAATCCCCAGTATCCCATATGACCCCCTAAGTACTGCCAGGAGTGAGAAGTAAGCCCAGAGCACTGCTGGGTGTGACCCAACACCCCCCCAAAATAAAATCCTCTGTATTTCCTAAACATATAAATGTTTCAAATTACAAAGTATTTTTAATAATACCAATGAAAAGATATAAATTATAGAGGAGCTAAGTCACATAAAATAAACAACTTATATTCTGTGAAATTCAGTGGTTACTGTATATAACATCTACAATTACAAAAATATAACAAAAAATAATGCTATATCTTGCCCTCAAAATAATTTAAAAGGATGCAAAAACACTTAAAAATGATTCTTACTAAATTATTGTCATCCTGGAAAGCATAGTGCAATGTTGTAATCCATTTGTTGTCTCCATTCACTAAAACATCCCTTTCTTCACGAAAACATGCTGTCTGAAAAGGAAAAGCAGAGTTTTGTTTAAGAATGTAAACACATAAAACCAGAAAATAAATTATACAATTACTTAATATGTTCTTCACACTTTGCTATGGAAAAGGAATACAAGTAATACTATGACTTTTCAACAAGTTTCAATGCACCATTTTACAGCTATATTTCAATTGACCATCCAGACAATTAATAGCTTAATACAGGTATTTCTGATCCTTCACTTTTAAGAGGACATAAGCTGTAGTCTTTAGTATTATCCCATTCTTCCCTCTTCTCTAGATATAATCACTACCTGAAGCTGGTGTACATTATTCCTGTCAGATGCTTTGGTTAAAGACATGTGTCCAATATCTTTAGTTACTTTATGTTTTAAATTTTTTAAAGAATGACTTTTCTCACGGTGACTCAATTAAAAAAATAAAAATTTAAAATTAAATTTTAAAACATTAAAAGTTTTTTTTTTTTAGCAATCAGGAAAATAAAGTCAAAATCACCTCTCCTTAGGATACATACTGTGCAGGACAGAGCCATGCTTAAGTGGGGCAGCACATGCGAGGCACATGCAGGACCCGGAACTAGACTCCCCAAACTAGCACTGTTGGAACCAGAGCACCTATGGGTGTGACAAAGGGTTGCCCCCCTAGATCTCTTAGGTCAAGGACCACTATTGTGGCCCCTATTTAAAAAAAAATTGGGGTGAGGGGTATGTGTGTGGGGAGGGGGGTCATCTGTCTCCAAAAACATCAAGGGACTCAGCAATATCCATGAGGAAAGTATTCTGTGCAAGCCCATTCATGCCCTCACACACTGTATCAACAATCCCTCTACAAATAATAAAGCATGTCAGGTGAAATTAAATAAAAACATAATCTGCAGCAAAAAAAAAAAAGTTTTTTTTAAAAAATAATGACTTTCTACCAGTCCTTCTGCAAATGAATTACTTTTATCCCATAATGACTGTTTTCATTTTACTGGTTATGGTATTCCACTGTGTCAATACACCGGAATTTACTATGTAACTCCCTTAATCATGAAATCATAGGTTATTTCCAATTCCATTATTACAATGATGCAACAAAGTTCAAAATTGCTCTGAAGTATACATTTAGAACTAAAACTGTCAGATATATGCATCTTAATTTTGTCATAGAACCAATTTACTTACCTAAGTGCTATACCAATTACTACCCTCTTCCCAGTGTGTGAAACCTCCTATTTTACTACATTCTCAACTAGACTTGGCACTGTTAGGCTTTAAAGAGTTGAATACTTGAGTTGTGTGAAACAATAACTTGTGCTTTTGGTTAACAGACTACTAATTGCTGGTTAGTAAAAGAGAGATTAATGTGTTTATCAGAGTCTGAACAATCTTTTAAAAATTGTTTACTGTATTTGTCCACTTTCTCTAATGAGTTGTACTTTACTTACTAATCTGCCAAAATTTTTGTTTTCAGACTATTATATATAACATTACAGATATTATATATTTTACGGACATAATCTGAACAACCTTAGAAATGTATAACAACTTAATATGATGATACATTACAATTACAATTCTATAATATAGCTTTAAAACCTTTTAAATAAATAAAATAACAAGAAAGAACTGAAAGGTAAAGCAGAAACTAGAAGTCTCCCTGAGTCAAGTGTCCATATTTTCAACGTCCACTTATTGTTCCAAGAGATTCTAGTTTCCGGGGCTGGAGAAACAGCACAGTGGGTAGGGCATTTGCCTTGCACGCGGCCAACCCGGGTTCGATTCCCAGCATCCCATATGGTCCCCTGAGCACCGCCAGGAGTAACTCCTGAGTGCAGAGCCAGGAGTAACCCGTTACCAGATGTGACCCAAAAAGCAAAAACAAAAAAAAAAAAAGATTCTAGTTTCCATATTTTCAATGTCCACTTATTGTGTCAAGAGATTCTATCAATAATTCTGTTAAATATATACTAAGGAAACAAGCATTTCTGTATATATGTATAAGCAAACACATACTATATTCATCTGGTAACACATTTTCCCTAGCACAGCGGGTAGGGCGTCTGCCTTACAAGCGGCCAACATGGCCGACCCGAGTTCGATTCCTCCACCCCTCTCGGAGAGTCCGGCAAGCTACCGAGAGTAGTCGATATGCCAAACACAGTAACAACAAAGTCTCCAATGGAGACGTTACTGGGCCCGCTCGAGCAAATCGACGATCAACGGGAGGGCCTTTACCTTTACCTTACCTTTACACAAATGTAACCACAGTTCTCAAGTAACAATATCTGAACTGCTTTCTGTATCAGTTCATAAACACCTACTTATTTTTTCAGGGTTTTTTTAACATTTCACACATACTCAAGAATACCATAGTTTTTTCTATATATGAGAGGTACTTAATAATTATTAGGTACTTGGGGCTGGAGAGATAGCACAGTGGGTAGGGCGTTTGCCTTGCACGCAGCCCACCCAGGTTCGATTCCCAGCATCCCATATGGTCCCCTGAGCACCGCCAGGATTAATTCCTGAGTGCAGAGCCGGGAGTAACCCCTGTGCGTTGCCAGATGTGACCCAAAAAAGCAAAAAAAAAAAATTATTAGGTACTTAATTTATTTCCTGCAAGTAAATCCAAGAGCTGCAACCAAAACAGCACTATTATGCAACTAATTTTTCCATATAATCCATAAACTTTTTGTTTGATTAGAACTTCCACTCTTAGATATTACATAATATCACCTGAGAAAATACTGAAAACAAATGGGAATTTAAAAGCTGAAAGCAAATTACTAACTTTTACCTACCAAATAGGTAAATTTTACCTATCAAGTGAAATCTACATTATGCTTCAATTCACTTTAGGGAAAAAACAAAATCAAGTGACATGCTGAACACTAAGTTCTGGTTTTTTTTAATTTAACCAGCCTGAGGTGATGTTTTATCGCTAACATTTTAGAGCAGAAGAAAGCAGTTAGAATGTAGGAGACAGACAGCGGTTTCAAAGTTCAGAGACATTGCAAGTAGAATCTAATAAACATCTGAGTGATGACTTACAAACAAAATAAAGTCCAAAAATCTTTTCGTTTCAGAACAATTAAATTCTAAGTGGAGTCTAACCTACGCTAAACCTGTTTTAAAAATAAAATAATTACTCTAAAATACTTAACTATCACTGTATCACTGTTATCCTGTTGTTCATTGATTGCCTCGAGCAGGCCCCAGAAATGGCTCCTTCGTCCTCTCCCTGAGATTTTAAAAAGTGCCACATTCGAGGCTCTTTCAGGGTCAGGAGAATGAGACCCATCATTGTTACTAGTTTTTGGAATACTGAATATGCCACGGGGAGTTTGCCAGATTCTGCCATGTGGGCAGGATACTTTTGGTAGCCTGCCAGGTTCTCCAGAGTAAGAACTAGATAATAAGATGTCGCACAGTTGTGAATCTTTAAGTATCAAACTGCTCCTATTATTGCATTATTGCATTCAGTTCAAATGGGAAGGTTGTGGAGTCTTCTTTTCTTGCTTCAATATGTCGCACTGTCCTCAGTTTTCACAAGTAAGAAAGGGGAAAGCTGCTAGTGAGACAGGGTCAGTAATTCTGCTACATGTCCTTCAGTATCCAGGATAGGTACCATAACAAAGAATTATCTGGCCCCAATTCAAAAGTGCCAGTGTTGAAAAACATGTTCTAGATGAATATTAAAAGATCTATATTGCATGTAGTTTCTTTGTATCAGAAATATAACACAGTTAAAGGCTATAAAATAGCATCTAGTTCAATTACCTTTCTCAAAAAAAAAACTACACGAGATTTATTTTTATTTCCTCCTTTAAAAGCAGAATATTTCACTCTCAAAGATCATAATAAACATGCAGGAAGGTTACGAGAGATCTTTTCTAGACAGTCTTTCCAGATTCAGTCACTCATTTTCTATTCAGCCAATCTGATTATTACCAGAGTGATGGTTTTGTCTGTTGTACAAGTATATATTTCTAATATTCAATCATAGTTTAAATTTCATCCTTAACAAACTACTATTGGTCAAAGATAAAGAGCAACAAGATAAATAGCACCTACTAACAAAGTTCTATATCTCTCCAGGGATATGACTCAGTGGCAGAGCATATGTCTCCATATCTAAGATCCTAGATTAAATCCTCAAAAGTACAAAATAAATAAATAAAAATTTAATTTACTTTAAAATCTACATTTTATATATAATTGATAGCTTAAACAAAGATTAGCAATGTAATTTTTAAGGTAATCAGAAAAAAAATTTTTTACAGAATTAAAAGACGAATCATTTAGAAACTTACACAAGTGGCAAGTGGATGAGAAAAAACACATAGTTTTTTCTATGTGATTTTTCTTGGCACTAATGAGTGCCAGGATGCACTGATTCAGATTTTTAGAAGACAGTGTGGCAAAGTGCCAAAGTCTGAATATACACTATTTCTCCTCAATCCTGGAGCTTCACTTGGTAAGGATTTTAATCTGAGCACTGCATAAATTCTAGAGTCAGCATAACATGAAAATCCCTAGGACAAAAAGATTAATCTTACTGCAATGTGTAAACTAGCATACTGTAGGATAATCAACAACAATATCTCTGATTGACATTTATTTGTCTTTTTATAACAAATATATAAAATATAAACCTGGACGAACTCCCACATCTGGCAGTGCCTAAGAACCACCAAGGTTACACCCAGAAACCCTGAAAGAGGCAGAACATGTGATGTCAGGCACTGAACTCAGGATCTCATCTAAGCAAGGTCTGCACTCTGCTTTCTACTATTTAAGCTCTCTCACTTACCCCTCCTCCCTTTTAAGTTTTTATTTCACATTTTACAAACTTTGTAGGTGGCATGTTAGTTCTAATCAGTATTCTTCTCTCATGTTTTGAAATTTACTATCGTCAATCTCACAGATTTGGGTGTAATAACTGAAATAAGGTACAGTCACTGATAGTTTGACTATACTTCACTAAGAGTTTATACTTAGAATAATCCTAGGAAAGCA